TTCAAGGGAACAGCCTATATGTCATTTGTTTTAATTCTGCCATCAGACTCGATCTATTTTGATCGTGCTTAAACTCCATATGCACGTCATTTAAATTAACACGTCGCGTCAGTTTTGAGAGACCGAAACCCGGGCTGTGCGTTCCGTTTCTGACATCCTCTCCGTCAGTTTCGCTTCTTCGCTTGTCGAAGTGTAGGAGATGGACGCAGGAGAGGGTGAGAATGGAGCTTTCTTGGCCCCATTCCAGCTGTGATGTCACATTTTCTCTGCAAGAGTCTGAGCCTATTGTCTCCACTTGCCCTAGTTCTGTCTCAGCCAACAGTCCAGAGTTCACATGGGGCCTTTTTTCACACGCTCTTGTATGTAGAAATCTTTTAAAAGTCTTTTTTTTTTTCCCAGTACATTCTGTTTCTGTTTCTACTTGTAACTGGGTGTGTGGTTTAGCATTCCAGCTGTTCTGTAACGCATTCCCATTAAAGGCTCTAATGGGACACGGAGGCAGGATGTCACCTGCCCCAATTATCGCATTTTCCTCTGATCTCATTTGTCTTTGTTAATGTTTAGGGCTTACACACACTCAAAGGAAACTTTGTACTCTTGATTTCAGATGATTTAGTTGCGCTTTCAGCATACATGTACTGCTTAAAAAAACAGATATCAAAAGTTGATATCAAAAGGTGATTTCACACATCATCTACCGTGTCGCTCAACAGGAAGTCATTTGAGTTCGAGGACGTGGTGCGTTGGACGACTCAGCAGGGGTCCAGAGAGACCGAGGGACGCCGCTCAGGGCTGTACCACACCCGGTCACAAGACAGCATCTACGAAGACATCATCTGTGAGTCCTGACTCAGACTCATGAACCCAGAAAAAGAGGAAGCCAAAACACATGCGTAACTGAAAAGCTATGGTGATGAAATGCAGAGCGCGAAATGACAGGTTTTTGGACCAGAATGGGATGGAACAGCTGCAGCTAAGCAAATGTTAAGCACATATTCGGCAGGCATGCTGGGAAATCTGGAACATGAGAGACCAGTTACTGCTTCAGGGAACACAGAATAGGCAGCGAAAGCATGAAACATAAAATGTGACAATGTTTAATCGCGATGTGTGTTTAACAGATGGTTTAATTCAGACTAATAAACAAGATTGCGGTCTGATTTTGCCAGTTACAGGATTACTCGAGCGGTCACCTAAACAGCACATGTATCAAGTTTTCAGGAAATCTGATAAAGCCATGCGGATTTTTAGCCTAAACATGGTATTATACATCTAATGTAATCTGGACATGTACACAAACAAACCGAAAAAACGGGAGGGGGAGGGGGAACAACGACCTTTTTTATTTTTATTTGTGCGTATTAAAGCTCGCAGCTCAACTGTTAAGCTTTACATTTTAGTTTCTGGATGAACCCTTGACACCGTTACTCTACATTGAGCACACTATGACGCAAGTCTCATGTCTTATGATGGAAACTATTTCATCCCTGCATGTCTCAACTCTTCGTATGTAGCGGAAGTGTTGCGGGAGAACCCGTATGAAGACATCAAACCGTCTTCCTCGTGTCTTCCTATCACGCGGTCCCGAAACTGGACCGTCGCACAGAGACGGACGCCGTGCACCCCAAAGGTGATTCTCAGCAACTTCTTTAGTTCTCCAGTTAACGGATATTTTTAGTTTAATATTAATACAATTTGGTGAGTTGTCCTAGGCTCACTCTGAGTCCCGAGAAACCTGACCACGATTTATGTCCGCAGTATTTCCGATCTTACTGTGCTGATTCGAATGTCTTTCAATATCGTGTTTTGCTATACTGTTTCCCCTTTTTGACTTCCTCCACGTGTTGTTTTTTTTTTTTTACCCCTCACACTGTAGCTGCCTCAGAAACCCCTCACGCTACGAGCCAATGCTGACCGACTACACGAGGTCTACAAGCAGTCTGTGATGTCACCACTTCAAACCTCTAACCCAAGCACACCTAAGCCACCGGCAACAAAGCGGGCTACCGCCTATAGAACGCAGCGCCAGCCACAGGTAATCCCACGTGTTCAAACCTGATTCACCAGTTGTTGTATAACATTATATTCATGCTTGAAGAATCTGCAACTTGTGAAAACAAACCTGATGATCAGATGAAAGTCTGAAGAAGAAAGGGAAAAAAAAACACACCACACTGAGTGGGGGAATGTCAGGGGAAATGATGAGGAGCTGCATGGAGGAGGCAGGAAGTGCTCATTATGGAGCAATTCTTAGACGTAGAACGTTATCGTCCTTCACATGTGGCTCTTACTACTTAACTTTGACTAATTAGCTATAAATGGACGTGTGTTCCAGTAGGATAGAGCCACTCTTGAACAGCTGGTGACAGCAGATACATGCAGAGTGATTCATGTTGTAATGGTTTAAATGGTGGACTTGAGGCAGTTTAAGCACACATACAAACATATGACTCTAATGGAGGGAAGCTGCTTTCCTGACGCTGGAGAGGCGAGTGAAGAGGTAAGAGCCACCCACGCATATTGCGCTCGTATTAACTCCGAGGCTAATCTCCTCAAACTACAGTCAAAATAAATGGAGAATGGCTGTTGATGTTGGTCTTTAATCTAGATATCACCAATAATTGCACAGAATAATGCTGTGTGAGGGTATTGTCATTATCACACATTTTATAACATTGTTCATGTTAGTACTCGGTGTATAAGTAGATGATTTAGATGTTTTAAATTTAGATTTATACATCGGATAGCTTGGGTACTATAATCTTCCCTGAACTGTGTTCAAAGGCGTCATAAAATCCTCAATAAAGTCTCACCCGTGACCGCGTCACCGTTGGGGAAGCTTGCTGGTTTATTATATCGTTATATATCAAACCGCTTGTCTAAAACGTAGCATACACTACCGGTCAAAAGTTTGGAGGCACTCGACTGAGATGCTTCTCATGATATTAAAAACCTTTCGTGTGATTTAAATGTTTGTAATCGGTGTCCTAGACAAAAAATATAATCGTAATAATATTCATTTCTTTCATTAGAAAACCAATTTTATTTACAAAAAATGTTTTCAAACACGACTCGGAGGGAAATATTCCGAAAAGCAGCCGATAAGAGTCCAGCGTCGGTGTGAACTCCTTTAATACTGTTTAAAAAGCATCTCGGGGAAATTCCTCAAGAAATCGGTCGAGAAAATGTCAAGAATACATTTCTGGAAATTCTAGGCGAAAAGGGCTTTGAAGATAAGATATTAAATTATTTTGGATTTTTTATTTTTTTTTTATCACAACCTACAGTTCGATTTTTGTTACTCCGGAGTTTTGATGACTTTATTATTATTCTAAAACGTTTATTCTTTAATAAAATAATGAATGATTGTGTCTAAACTTTTGAACGGTAGTGTACATTACTGCACAACAGAGGAACATCTACTTCGGTAGCCTGAAGAATCACGGGGCTTGTGAATCAATGAAGTTGACCAGTAATGATGAGAGGGACACGTATGATGTAGAAACGGAGGTACTTTCCATTGAGCTTCCATTGAGCTACGTCGAACTTTGTCGTTAATGCATAACCACAGAGTGGTCTCATCTCTGAAAGGGTGAAATCACAGAGGCTTATTTTGCAAGACTGGTGTGATTACTCAAACATCTCCCCGAGACTGAGAAGTGATTTTGGAGTAAACAGGTTTTCAGTTACTTTCTCGACACAAGGAAACGTCCTGTATGTGTGGCACTCGCTCCTCCAGTACAGATGTGGTAAATAGAGAGTAGGTTCAGAAAAGCAGGCGTTTTCCCATTAACAGCGGATTTCTCTCATTAACTACTTTGGTGATTAACTTTGCCGATTATTTCGGCTTAAATTGCGTCCTACGGTGGCTTGAGGTTATACGCCGCCGCTTTAAAGAATCAAGTCTACGCTCGAATTATAAACTACGTTACGCTTGCGTGTTAAATTCCTTCAGCTTCATTGCTAAAAAAAGGACCGCGTCTTATCAGAGGAAGAGCAGAAGACGTTTTCCCACCCGCTCCTTCCTACTCAGCTGTCATGTCGTCTGTATCGTAAGATTGGTTGGGCGGCATGTTAGCCTGGCTATAAAAAAAAAAAAATGCCTCGACAAACTTGTTTCCTCTCTCGCAGTATATAAAAATAAATGGGTTTGTCTGACTCATGACAAAAGACACTCTTAATTACACCCTGCAGTTCACATTCATATTGTGTCGTGCATTTAAAAAAAAAATTTAAATAAGGGAATCGGCAGGTTAAGCCAATAGTGAAAGGAAAACCCTGTGATTAAACTGACCTGTATGTTTCTTGTGCAGTATGTGAGCAGGATCCAAGAGATCTTCCAGGCCAAGAGAGGGAAAAAGAGAGTGAAAAACCAGACAAGTGCCAGCAGAGGTACGGACAAGATCTGTGCAATTTCATATCGATGATTATGGACGCTAACGAGATTGTGATATACGTTTAGGATATACATCACTTAATATATGCCGCCTGTTAATGTTTTGCTTTCTTTGTCTTGTTACTCTGTCTCTCTTGATGTTCAGAGGAATTGAGTGGAACAGAGAGCGATCCAGAAGAGAGCTCTAAAAAAGGTTTGTTACTGTACTTTGTCCAAGTTTGTGGGCTGTACCTGCATCTCGGTACGTTTCCTAGCACTGAAATGTTTTAAGTTTAATTTAAGTTCGATTCAGCTGTAGAATAGAGAAGGTGCACAACAAAGCTGAAAGGTTTACAGGCTTCATTCCAGGAACTTGAGACAAGCTCATAGAGTTCCAATTTCAGTTCACTGTAGTAGTTCCAGAAACTTTTTTTATTATTATTATTATTTTTTTAGTTCCTGGTCCAGAATAGGTGTTTCTCTGTGAACCATAAGTTATTGGGGTTAGAGCATGGCATTCTGAATGTCAGTGACTGGTCAAGTACAAGCTTTACAGAATAACCTGCCATTACCGGCAGGGCTGTTTAAAGCAGAATGCTTTATTGAAGTGGCAAGTAAAACATCTTGCGATGTGGCTTAGTGGTTAGAACGTTTGACTCGCACCATCGGGGGTCGGGGGTTCAAAATCCAGCCTCTGCACTGTGTACGCCGAGTTTGCATGCTCCTCTCCCTGTGCTTTGGGGGGTTTCCTCAGGGCACTCCAGTTTCTTCCCCCAGTCCAGAGACATGCATTGTAGGCTGATTGGCATTTCCAGATCGTATGTATTGTGTGAACGGGTGTGCGATTGTGCCCTGTGATGGGTGGACACCCCATCTAGTGTGTTCCCTGCCTCGTGTTTGCAGAGTTCTCTGGGATAGACTTATTGAGCTCTTTGTATCCATTCTGTTATTTTCCATAATCATCATCATCATCACAAATCCCTTCATTGTGGTTGAAACGCAAAAATAGGAACCCCCTCCAAGATCCGTGTAATTCGTGTATTGGATAGTCCCGGAAATTCCTCAAAATGCTTCAGATGTAAAGATGTCGTGATATACTGGGAATAATTGTTCTAATTACAGTCGGCGTCCTTCCAACGAGTACACTAAACTCTCCTCGGCCTGTCTTCATTTATATACTGTGTTTGGATCAGGGGGGTCCCAGCGCCTGGTGTATGTGCAATCCACGTTGAAGAGGAGACCAGGCTATCGCACCCTGGAGAGAGATCTCATCCAGCTGCAGCAGCAACAACTCTTCCAGCTGTTTGTGGTGGTGTCACTTAGAAAGCGTTCCCCTGGAAACACGTACTACCCAGAGATCACGCAACAGTTCCCTACCAAGGTAGAGAACCAATGAGGTGCATTGAGTGCATAGTCTTAACGCTGGGTTCGAGGTCAGTTTAAAATGTGCTCCTCTCGATTTTTTATTTTTTTTTACGCAGTTTGAGAAGACCACGCGGATGTCTCGCGAGACCGAGGATCGTTTGAAAGCCATTCCTAATTTCTGCTTCCCCGATGCTCAGGACTGGAGACCATCTGCAGACATAAACAGGTCGGATGACAAAAACATTTTTTCTGGTTTGCGTGTTTGTGTTGCGCTGAGTGACACTCAACGAGCTCGTAACCTAGGCAGTGTTTATGAGCAGTCGAGAAATGGATTGTTCTTCAAAAAAACAAAAGAAGTGTGATGTCTGCACACTGTATTTACAGCTCCAAACCACTTTTTAATGAAAGCGTAACGTTCCGACATTCAGGTCTTCATCTGGCACAATACCAATGTGGAATGAAATGCAATTCTTTATAGAAGCAGGTAATTAATTTAATTAGGCTCACACTCCAAAACACAAGAATGAAGACCTGATGGTCTTTTTATCATCTTATTTTTGTTGTTCTGCACCTGAGCCCAAATTTACGGTGTGTTGGATGTGCGCACCTTTTGTTGCATTTTTTTTGTTCTTCATCTGACTCAAAGGTTTTTGTGGTGTTATAAAACGTATTGTACAGTTCTGAACTGAGCTCCTCAGCAGTTCTGCGGTTTTTTTTTTGTTTTTTTTTGTTTTTTTAACAGCTCTTGTTCTTCATCCTTAGTGAAACCTTTTCATTTGTCCTGACCGGAGAAGACGGCACCCGATGGTTTGGTTATTGTCGGAAAATCTTGGTGAGTTAAAGCATGACTCGTGTAGTCAGCAGGAACATAATGAATATGTGTGATAGAATATTAATAGGTTGCGCTGGAGTTTGCTGCCATATTGCTGAGTCATCGTCACTTTGATGTGTGTGTGTGTGTGTGTGTGTGTGTTGGTTTCCCGCTGTGTCCTGCAGCCTTGTGGAAAGGGGAAGAGGTTGCCCGAGGTTCACTGCATCATCAGCCGGCTTGGTTGCTTCAATTTGTTTGCAAAGGTCAGGGGAATTTCCAGTGTTTTGTTTTTTGTTTTCTTCAGGACTGAATTTGTGGTGGTGAACTGACAGGAAAACATTTTAATGTACACTACAAGTCAAACGTTTGTGGGCACTCGACTGAAATGTTTCTCACGATCTTAAAAAGCTATTGATCTGAAGGTGTATGATTTAAATGTTTGAAATCGGTGTCGTAGACAAAAATATAATCGTGTTAACGTATTAATTTCTTTCATTAGAACACCTAACATTTTATTTACAAAAATTTTATTTTAAACGGACGATTCGGGAGGGAAACATTCCGAAAAGCAGCCGATAAGAGTCCAGCATCGGGGAAATTCCTCAAGAAATCGGTCGAGAAAATGCCAAGAATACGTTTCTGGAAATTCTAGGCAAAAAGGGCGTTTACTTTGAAGATGAGAAAATATTAAATTATTTTTATTTATTTTGGATTTTTTTTTATCACAACATAATTCCCATAGTTCCATTTGTTACTCCAGAGTTTCTTCTGGATCACTCTGTGTCCTTCCTGATTTGTCAAGTCCCTACCATATAACCGTTACGCTATCTCGATCGTATACACAACAACACGAAGACTGAACCGCACGCTTTGCTGGCTTTGTTGTCAGCCATTGTGCAGTTCAATTCTGTATTTTATATAAACACTGCAGCTGCCTACATGTGCAAGAGGTGATCTATGGTTGGAGAAATCGGCAACAAATCTCATTTTAAGCAGCGTAAGTCCTACATGGAACGCCGGATTGGACTAGCATCCAACTTCATGAATGGTCATGTGACATGCGTTTAGTGTGGACGGAGATCCACAGCGGAACAGTGCTGAACCACAACGGAAACGCCAGTGTGGACGAGGATAGTTTTGGTTTTAAAACGCCGTTTTAAAACCAAAACGCACTAGTGTAAACCGGGCCTCAGTGTGTCTAAACTTTTGACCGGCAGTGTACGTGTAAGTTAGTATTGTACTGTCTTTATCTGAGAAGATAAAGCAGGAGTGATAAAATACTTGACACTTTATTGATGCTCATAACATGTCTGCATTTCCTTTGAGATATGTGTGACGTGATTGACTTCAGAACTTAATAGCATTATATGCCTGTGTGTGTGTATAGATCCTGGAGGAGGTGGAGAGGAGGAGAGAGATCTCTCCTGCGCTCGTCCACCCGTTTATGCGCAGCGTCATGGAGGCTCCTTTTCCTGCTCCAGGACGCACCATCACCGTGAAGAGCTTCCTGCCCGGCTCTGGCAACGAGGTGAGGCCATCCTCTAAGAACGTGTATTTTTACAGATGTATGTCATTATAATCTCACTGGAGTGGTGTGTGTGTGTGTGTGTGTGTGTGTGTGTGTAATGCTGCACACATTTTTCGGGCAACTCAAACTATAAATGGCTCCTGAAAGACTTTCCAAATAAATACATTTTAGTTAGTGGAGTCTTTTAAAGTCGGGCCTAAGAGCAGGTTGATCGAAACAGTGAGGAGGAAAACCAGTCACAAAACCAGTCTGGCAGCAACGTAGAGAGATAAAATATATAATGTCATGATGAAACTCGCTCTTTGTCACATGGATTTAAGCGATATTTATTTAAGAAATCCTCATTAGCACAGGGAAATGCGTTCAAACCGGCATAATCATGGTACGACCTTTTATCATCTTCAATTAAGAGGAGTACGTACCAGTCTAGTGACCTATGCGCAACACAGTGCAGAAAAGGCTTAAACCAGTTTTAAAGCTTATGTCATTGTTCCCACAATGCCATGGTCTTAAGTGCAGGAGTTGTGCAACAAGTAATGTTTTACTACCCGGAATTTCCCTCAACAAAAGAAATCCAATGTTCCAATCACTTATTTCCATTGGCTTTTGGATTATTGCAGAAAATAATCTGTGGTCAGCAAAAGTTTGAGTCTTGCACGTTTCGAACACAACTTTTTTTTTTTTTACCACTAAGCTCTCACGGGCCATAGCAGTTGAGTTTTCTTGTTCGGCCTGATGACGTTCGGTGTCCCCGACAACCTCTGTAGTCTCATTTAGCCCCTTTTTTCCAAGACATGCAAAAGCTTAGCAAAATCACAAGTGGGGTATTACTGATGTATTTTTTTTTTTTTACGTCCTCGAATAAAACGTGAAAAAATATCTTGAGCTCGTGTTTAGGCATTTAACCGAAAACCCGTTGACTTCGGGATGATGGAGCCGGAAGTGCTACAATGCTAACCCGTTTCAGAGCGTTAGGACTCCTTCCTGCATCGCTCTGTATATCAGCCACCTTCGAACAGTATTCAGATATTTAAATGCTAGACAAATTTCCACCTCCTTAGTCTCCAGTGTGGAAAGGACACATCGAGATCAAATAAAATCAATTCGTCTTTATTCGTTCGTCTTCAGTATCTACGTTCTCTTGATGGAACACTGGGTTTTAGCTGGGGAATATACCCAGTCCATCGCAGGGGACCACACTCATTTACACCTTTAGAGTAGCCTGTCGATCTTTTTGGGGGGATAGAGGGGAACCCGGAGGAAACCATGTGGACATATAACAACACTACACCTAAAACAGACTCGGGATCAAACCCAGGACCCTGGATCTGCGTTTCATCAACGGCACCATTCCAAAGTTATAATAAGATGGTTTTGTGCGTGCAGGAGCTGACCTTGTGTCGCCCGGTGGACTCGCGACTGGAACACGTGGATTTTGAAAGTCTGCTGCAGTGTCTGAGTGTGAGCAGGTTGCTACAGGTTTTCGCCTCTCTGTTGCTGGAGAGGAGAGTCATCTTCATCGCAGATAAACTCGGGTACGTTACATCACTGCGCGAGCTAACTTTATTTACATCTGTCATTTAAAAGATTGTCACACGTTCATTCATCGTATCAGCAGCCATAATGAGAACCTCTCTCTCTTTCTCTCGCCTCCCAGCACCTTGTCTCGGTGTGCGCACTCGGCTCTCGCTCTGCTCTACCCTTTCACATGGCAGCACACCTTCGTGCCTGTGCTACCTGCCAACATGCTGGACATCAGCTGCTCTCCGACTCCCTTCGTCATGGGAGCGCTGTCTCCCTCACTGGACCAGCTGTTGGATTTGCCCATTGAGGAGGTCAGTCACTTAAACCTACCTGGTCTACAGGAAAAAGGAAATGAAATGGGGAACCTGTACTGAACTTTACCTTCTCATGGCACTATGTCGAGTCAGTGCAAAACGAGAAGCGGGGGAAGTCCCAAAGCAGTGTCGTTTCGATTTGATTAAACACTGTCAAG